AAGGAGTATCATCTATAAACATAAATTCATAGCATATGTATGGGAGTAGTTTCAGAAAAATGTGAGAACATTTATCACCGCATATTATCACAGGAATGAATTAATCTAATTACAGTTTGGACCACTAACAAAGAAAAAACAAAAGATAATAATAGGCAGATGGATGGAACATGAAAAGATGGAATAAATAGCACTGTAAAGAACCTCTGAAACAGTATCGTTTAAAACATCGAAAATTCTTCTGTGGTGGATGTAAACATAAATTGCAACATTGCATAGCCTATCATAGCGTTTGTTTGTAACACTGCAATGAGTGCTGCGACCCACTGAAAGTGTTGGTCTGATATTCTGAAGACTAACTTTCAGTCAGTCGAAATATTGCCCTTGTACCCTAAATATCTTCCAAACGTCATTGACATAATACAAACGTCATATATCATAATAAATAAACGTGGTGAACAGCGTTGAAAAGTTGAAATCCTTAAAATACTAACTAAATAAAAATGGTTTTATTGACTTTCTGAGGATCAGTGATAATGTGCCCACCGGAAGGTGGAAATTGCCTGTGTTCATTTGAATAATTTTTGTTGGTAAAAATGGGAAATGTTCCGAGCGAATTCCGTCGTCATTATACTAAATCTACTTTTGAATTCTGCTAGCTCCTTTGGCTGTGCTGCATTCAGTTTTTCTTGAAGTCTGTTCATCAGTACGTTTGTGAAGATCTTGTACATAACTGGCAGTAGAGTGATCGACGTGTATTTTTTTCGAACCCTCTCTTTCACCGTTTTGTGAATTAGGATCAATGTTGCTGTAGTCTGATCCTCTCCTGGTCACAAATACGAAACAGCATAACGAGTTAGTTAAAACAGCATTAATGCTCGTAGCTCCTAGGCGGATATGTTTTTAGTTTGTAAGCGTGTAGCAACATTATTTTTAAGCTGATACATGAACAGCGTTTTTAGGGAACAGTGCTTTATGTTAATTAAACCGTTGATTTTTTTGCTTAAAACCGTTTTGTTTACTTTTCGCATTTTGCATTAATTAATTTCAGCATTAATTTAAACATTAGTTTCAGAGCTACATATTCAGTTCCCTGCATCATCATCATTGGCTTTTATCTATTCACTGCAGGACCAAGACTTCTGCAAGATTTTGTCACAAAATTCTCTCTTCTGCAGTTCTTATTATCTTTGCTACAGCAAATTTCTTCAGTTCATCTTCTGATAGACCTCTAGGTATTCTCGCCGACGTTTAGTGTCTCTTGGAACCCAGTGTTGTTGTATTGTCATCGTCATCTCAGCTGTTTTGATCATGACATCAAGTTCTGAGATTAATGATGTCTGACGCTATGACTTCGCAGAATCATTTAAACAACGTTGGTTGCTGCGGTCAAGGTCATGTTTATCACTGCAAGCGAACATGCTTCTAGCACATGTTTTAGGGTGCGATTTGGCCCTGACACGCATGCGGCCATTTTTTGCTTCCTATTGTTGAATGGTTTAAAATAAGTCTTTATTCGCTCT